GGGGGGGGTGCAGAGGGGGCCAAGTGGTGGGGGTAATTCCATTTTCCAAAATTCTCCTGGGAAGGTGGAATTACCCTTTAAACATGTGCTGTGTTCAGATCCTTCTACTATACAGAACCCTGCGTTCCAGGTCATGTACGTGTATAAATGGCTTACGGGCACAGCTGTAAAAAGTGCTGCGTTATCAGCATAGTGTATTTAATATTACGGATCCGAACGCAGTTCTGTTGTATTCTATGAGCCCATGCACAAAATGCAGAACGATCAGTAAACATGCACTGCGTTCACATCTGTAAAATCACAATTAAAAAACTGCATCTGAGGTCAGTAATTTACACATGCATATAAACGCACAGAAACGCATGCACGTGTGGATGTATATATTTAAGAGAACTGTATGCGTCTAAACTCTGTGTGGGGGTTTGCACATCTATACGCACTTTGCAGAGCAATTAATGCATTCTTTTGCTCAGGGAACATCTTCCAGCACATAGATGATCAGTTATCATTATGCAATATCAGTGTACGTGTAGTAATATAACTTTATAAACAGGCCCATATGCCGATCTCTGACACTTCTATATGACATTTATAAAATACTTGTACAGGACATGTCATATGTTCATACATGAAGTTGCATCCCATGTACAGATGTGACACATGAATGAGAAGAGCTCACTAGAAGTCCTCCTGTACCGCACTCAGCCTATGATGACACTACTCTATAGGTGACACGTCTGCTCTGTCCCACTAGGTCACCTGTAGCATCTCTATCATCTCCCCGTTATCCCTCAGTCGTATCCGTGTGTGGGTGCCGGTGTAAGGGGGTTACCTGTCCGGGCAGTGACGTTCCTGCGCTCCACCGGTCTACTTGTATGGAACTTGCAGCGGAGCCGGCGACACAGGCAACAGGCAGCGGGGAGCGAGCTCTGCCACGTCAGACAGCCACAGCTAAAGCTCAGGCGCGCGCCCGCAGACTTTCGTTGCCTACACGGGGGCGCGCCCGTCATCCTTTCCTTCCCGTCCACTTGATCGGGAGCGCGCTCCACGTCACCACTGAGTATCAGCCTAGACTCGGCTCATGTTCTGCTGGATGTGGTCCTGTACTGGGAACTAGAAGGCTGCTGCTGTGCTCCTGAAAAACCCGATGCACTGTCAGTGATTGGAAAAAGCATGCAGCAAGTGATGTCAAAACTCCCTCACCAGTTTAAAAAAAGTTTAACCACTTGTTGTCTGGAGCAATTTCTTCATTTTTGCACACACATGATAAAAATCTGAATTCTTGGCTAGAAAACGGCTCAATACCCCCAAACAGTTATAGAAGCCCTGTGGAATTTTTAAAAAAAATACAATAAACTCTCTTATTCGATATTCAACTCACCAGAACTCTCATCTAACCAGAAAAATAAATCCCTTGTGTACTCACTGTTCTGCTGATCTGCGGCATGTATTATCCTGGAAACGATGATGTATCTGTTTGTCTTCATTTGTTTTTGATTACGGCATTTCAATATTAATATAAAGTCAATACAGAGTTTATGTTATGGTATAGTATGGGGAATTAATAGTAGCTCTTAAGCAACCAGAAACTATTTTTATCTGGAATCTACCAATCCCTGTGGATGCTGGATAACTTGGAGTTTTCTGTGGTGATATGTAACATGTGTGGCACACTTGTCATTTATGTACACATGCGTGCCCTACACCCACGTAATTATTTGCATGCAGATGACGGGGTTGGTTTTAACTTTTATACATTTTTATTTTATAATTTTTTTCTTTAAAAAAAAAAATCATTTAACTTTATGGCTATCACACAGGGGCTAACAATCCCCTATGTGATAGCGCTTAGAGGTGACAGGTTCTCTTTATGGAGACATGTCCCTCCTGCCCTCCAATACAGTCAAGCAGAGGATTGTGTTTGATCGGCTGTGCAGGGGCGTCCCAGGGTGTCACCTGGAACGGGTACCGGGTGACACCTCACAGTGACGCCATTGCGCATGCGCGTGACATCATCATGACATCACGGGCAGTTACCTGCCGGCGGCCATCTTCGTGATGGACGCCAGCAAGAAGAAGAGGGGACATTTAGGTCTCATTCACACACAACGCAAGAGCAAAATTGTATATTGCGTATATATGCGTTCATGCACGTTTGTACACGCGTATATACGCGTATGTACACGCATACACGCGCGTATATGTGTGCACTATATGCAATCCCGTAATACTCAGAAATACGCTGCCCGGACGCATCTCGGTTCCATTCTGTTTTTGTGCATTTTCACGCTACGCAAATATATGGCTCCATACGCAGCTGTGTGTATAGAGCCATTTATTTGCATATGCTGGTACAATAGGCGCGTATATGCGCGGCAGTGTGAATGAGGCCTTACCCGGCAGGATAAGGTATGCTGCCAGGTCCCCTCCTCTCTCAAGCAACTGTCTGGCTCTCGGTCTGTGTATGTTATAAAGGAGACACTGTATGCTATGGAGAGGCTTGTCGGGGGCACTACATGCAGAAACCTCAGACACCGCCTGCAATAGAGAGATGTAAAGTAATGTGTGCAGCACAGAGATATGAAGTACTATATTCAACACAGCGGCATGAGGCACTGTGTATGCAACAGAGAAGTATGAGGCACTGCATGTAACACAGAGATGTATGGTACGGCATATAACATAGAGATGTGAGACAATGCAATGCAGCACAGTGACGTGAAGCGCCATTTGCAACGTATGTTTTTAGCAAAGAAGCACCAGATATTGAGCGTATAAAAGAGGTTTGAGTCACACCACCCCATAACAGAGAGACAGGAGGCACTGCATGCAAAACATAGAAGGCATTGGGGGGAATGAATAAATAGTATCCAAACAAACTTTGTCGCAACTGGAGCACAGCCAATCAGCTTTTACGTTCTCATTTTCTAAGCTGTGTGGAACAAATTAAAGATAAACGTTGATTGGTTGCTATGGACAACTGCACAAGTTAAAAAATTACTTGTTTCATAAACCTTTTTTACCCCCCCTCCAACACTGCATGTAACACAGAGACATGAGGCCCTACATAGAAAGAGGCATCTGGCATCGACTGCAGAAAACAGGAGTGTTGCCCTGCTTCAATACAAATTGTGTGGGGCTACGTGGCATTAGCATTTTAGGTTACAGAGAGGCACGATGCACTGCATGTAACAGAGACATTTGGGGTAATTTTTGTAGTGGAGAAGTATAAATAGCCTCTGAGGTGTTTGAGACACAGTAACACAAACAGGCAACAAATCACACAAGTATGCATCCCGACCAATCATAACCTCCCAACACATGGGGTGCACAGAGAGAAATGGGTAGAGGTGTAAGATTAGATAGCAGGGATCCCAACCTGAAAAAGCAATTTCAGGGAGGTGCCCTTCTCATTTCAAGGAGGTGCCCTTTGATCCACCCCAGCCCCCCTGCCCCATCCAGATGGGGGGGGGAGGAGAGCACAGCCCAGAAATGATGGCAGATAGCACGGGAAGCAATAGCTTCTTTGATATCTGCTGGGTTTTTTTTTTTTGTATTCTGACAGCTGCTGCCATCAGAATAAAAAAAACAAACAAACATTATAGGAATGAATAGCTAGATTGCTATTGGCTATTTTAATTTGCAATATCCAACAGCAAGCTGGCTATGACATCCGCCCTCTGCTGCTGTCAATCACTAGAAGAGGACCTGATGGAGAACTTCAGGACACCTCTGCTGATTGACAGCAGCAGTGGGCGGGTGCAATAGCTAGTCTGCTATTGGCTATTGCAAAGTGAAATAGCCAAAAGCAATCTAGCTATGCATTCCTATGCTGTTTGTTTGTTTTTTTATTCTGATGGCCGCAGCTGTGAGAATACAAAAAAAAAAACAACCCAGCAGATAGCAAAGAAGCTATTGCTTCCCGTGCTGTTTTTTTTTTTGCTCTGATTGACGGCGGTCGGGGGCCCCAATGTCAGGGGGAAAAAAAACAGATCGCAGGGAAAGGTTTACTCTGCTAGATAAAGCAGAGTAAACATTTCCGGGAGAAAATGTTTCTAATAGCGGGAGACTCCCGGAGCGTCCGGGAGAGTTGGGATGTCTGAGATAGGAAGTAGCACACTTCCACACTACCTACGTGATGCATAAATCTTTATGGAGAATGAAGGGATCACAGTGACATAATTTCCTTCTCCATATGGTAGGATAGTATTGGTTTATTGGGGTGAGGAGATTAGGTTTGGTTACCAAATAATGTGGAAGATCTTACATGTGGCAGGAATACTAGTGAGTAAGCTGTGTGTGTTAGAGTGCAGAATTGGCTAGCAGCAGAGATACTGGTGTAGCCCCTTCGCCTAAAGTGGAGTGACTACTTAAATTTAGTGTTGCTAGCACTGTAATCGGTCTGGCTGATTTGTAGTTTGTGATCATTTGGTCATTCCTAGGTGATCTGCTATTGATTGCACCTACCTGTAGTGGGGTATGACCCTGCCAAAGAGTGGAGCAGCCAATAGGAGAACATTAGGAGTGTCTATGCCTCACCAGCCAATCACTTGGTTTTAATGGCCAGTGGTGCGTGCTGGGGAAGTACATAAATACTGAGGAATTGCCTTGTGCTCAGGGCAGTCTGCCCCCGGGCTTAGCCTGGGGGTAGGATGTACAAGGTTGGAGAAGCTGAATAGGCCTCAAGCCTGCAAGAGGCCACAGGTGGACCCAGGAGGGGTCTGGAACTATCTTGAAGGAGAACCAGAGGAGCCCTATGACTGCTGGAGGTGCCAGGATGGGGCATGGACCTCAGGAACAAGTCTGGTGTCTCTCCCAGGGAAGGTCTTCTGCACATGCCTATTCAGCTATTGCTCTACTACACAGTGTCATCTGCTGTTCTACTGAGGTATTCCTGCACTGTGGAAGCTGGAAGGGACTGGTGAGTCTATTTTGTCCATGGATGTCTGTAGTCCTATACCCTCTTTCCCAGTTTGACTGTTCTTCAATAAAGCATCTTAAAAGTACTTAAAGTGACTGGTGTCCAATTTACTGTTCACATCCCACAACCCGGCTAAGGATCCACCCCTGAAATGTCAACCCTCCCTACCTTTGGCGGTCCAGCACAGGCTTCTGGGGGTCAGGGGGTGCTATACTTGCGTGTGATCTTTGTGTGCTATAGGGCAGATCTTGCAGGTGACATGGATTCCAGGTGGGAGGCTGAGCTATATGTGCGGAAGTGCAGATCTCAATGATAACATAAATACCAGTGAGGAGCCATTTGCGCTGGAGCGCAGATTACATGATTGGTGTGGATGCAGGGTTGTTAACTTTGCAGAAGGTGGCAGAAATATGGGGCAGTGAGGTGTATGTGCTGGCATGCAGATCTTACTGGTGGCATAGAAACTGGTGAGTGAGGATACTTGGAAGTGGGGGATGTGTTCTGGAGTGCAGATTGTACCAGTGCTATGGATACTGGGAGGTGACCTATGTATGTGCTGGCATGCAGATCTTACTGGAAACGTCGAGACAATATTCGCTCCCCCATTCTCAACCATCCTTATTCATGTATCTATTATTCTAATCATGCTATTAATTAACCATTCTATCATGTATTCTTGAATGAGATGTTCATAGGTGGAGTGAGCAAAGCCTATGTCCCTCCACTGTTTAATGAACCCAAATAAATTTTTCAATCATGTATTCAATAAATTTTTCAATCATGCTATCATGTCTTTCTTGAAATGGGCGGTATAAATGGAGTGAGCGTATAAGGAGACATCTGATCAGCCAGTTGTTTTTATTACTTGCACTGTATGAATCAATCTTTTAAAATATTACTAAGATTAAAAATACTTTTTTACTGCTAAATTGCTTTGGATTTGTCATAAGGTGCCCAAACCCCCCCATCTTTTTTCTTTCCTTTTTATACCAAAGTTCTTAGGGGTGTGGCACCAAGTCGCAACTGCAGGGCGCAGTTGCCATCCGCAATTAAATCAGCTCTCGGCGCCCATCGG